CAGGATATGCAGCGGGGACAAGGGGAGGGGGAGGGGCATCAGCCGGATCAACGGCAGTCAGGGCCGCATGGATGGCGGCAACGACAGCGCAGGCCACAGGGCAGGCCCAGAAGTGGTGGTGGCGGCCGGGGCGGGGCCAGAGGCACCACACAGGCAGGGCTCATTTCGGTGCATGCGGGCTGCTGTGCACGGGAGTAGGCGAGGGGGCACCTCCACCATACCTGTGGCTGGGGGCTGATGAGGTCGATAGTGACCAGTGACGATACCTGGCACCTCCTGGGCGAGAATGGAGGGCATTCAGTCCAGTGAGCGACAGCTCACGCTGCGGCGCGCTGTCTTATCCCGGCGCCTGATAAGGGGGATGCCGACTGCTCCCAAGTTCCCTCATTGTCTCTCTCAACCCAAAACTCAACAAGACATGTCTTGTGCGACCTCAGGGCGCGCAAGGGCCGCCAGGCAGGAGGCCATGGGGGTCCCCGCTCTGCAGCACCGTGCGGCTGCCCCCTTGGCCCAGCGCTCCAGCGCCCGCAGCACATGCCGGAGCAATGGAATCAAGCGGAGGGTCGTGTGTCAGGTGGGTGCGAGACATCTCGGAGGCTGGGCTGCGGCTGCTTGGGCGGGCTGTGAGGCTGGATCGTGCCCCCGCTGCCGTGCAGCTGCAACTGACGAGGACCGAGACTCCCCCGGCGACCGCTCCACTGGAGTATGAAGAGGGGCCCGCCGCTCGTGGCGCCGCCGCCACCGACGCCACCCTTCCCCAGCTGTGAGCACGCCTCGCTGCCTGTGGCCGCAGCCGCAGCACCAGGGCGCCCGCCTTGCAGGCTGGACTGCCTTCAGCGCAACGGCTTGCGCCTGCTGGTGCGGGGAAGGCCATGGGGTGCCTCGCAAGCCGCTTCCCGCCTGCCGGTACTCGCTGGCACTGTCGCCCGCGGCGGCTCCCCCCGCCCCGCCATCCGCCTGCCTTACCCCCGGCACGGCCTGCCTCTTTCCCGCTTGGCCCGCTGCCCTGCAGCTGGGACGACCTGGCGGCGCAATATGGCGAGGCGCTTGCGGTGATGGACCCGCACCGCTCGCCCGTCGTGCAGTACAGCTTTGCGCAGCTGGCCGACGCCATTGCCCAGTTCGCGTCCGGCCTGCAGTCGCTGGGGCTCAGGTGAGGCGGCAGCCGCGCGGGGGGGCGCCGCCGGCTGGCTGGCCAGCGCTGGGCGCGCGCGGCGGGGGCCGCCAAGCCGCCCGGCGCCGGCCTCAACCTCCGCTCTCGCCGCCGCGCCGCGCCGCGCGTGCAGCAAGGGCGACAAGGTGTCGCTTTTCAGCGAGAACAGCAGCAGGTGGCTGATTGCGGACCAAGCGATCATGAAGTGCGGCGCCGCCGACGCGGTGAGTTCCCGCTGAGGCCGGGCTGGCTGGGGGGCGCGGCGGCGCGCGGCGGCGGCCGGGCACGGCGTCCCGCCTGCCGCGCAGCAGCAGCGCCTGCGTGCGGCGCGTCACGCGGGGGGTGTGGAGCGCCGTTACCGGCGCCGCGGCCGCTGTGCTGTGCTGCCGCTCACGGGTGGTGCTGCGCGTGGTACTGGCCGGCCCGCAGGTGCGCGGCACCAGCAGCAGCCTGGAGGAGCTGCAGTACATCATGCAGCACAGGTACTGCCGCCGCCGGGCGTACCGCCGCCGGCCGCGCTGCGTGGCGGGCGGGCAGGGCGCGTCCGGCCCGCCCGCGCGTGCGCAGCGCTGCCCTCGGGCCCCGCCGCTAGCCTGGCTGCTGCCTGCCGCACGCGCGCGCCCCTCCCCCTGTCGTGTGCAGCGAGAGCGGCGGGCTGGTGGTGCAGGATGCCGCCACACTGGACAAGCTGCTGCCCGCCCTGGGCAGCTCCAAGCAGGTGGGTGGGCGTGGCCCTCGCGGCGGCGGCGGGGCGGCAGGCCAGCGACGGCAGTGCAGCGGCGGCGGCGGCGGCGGCGGCGGCAGCGCAGCGGCATCGCATGGCCCAGCCCCGGTGCTGCCCCGTGCCGTATGCCATGCCTTGTCGGACGGGTTTGCAGGCCCGACACGCCTTGCCTGCCTCGCTGCCGCCCCCGCCTCCCTCGCCCCGCAGGCCTGCCCCATGCGCTTTGTGGTGGTGCTGTGGGGCTCGCCGTCGGCGGCCGCGGCGGCGGCGCTGGGCTCCCACCTGCTCACCTTTGACGCGGTGATGGCGCGGGGCGCGGGTCAGGTGCGCCTCCCTGCCTGCCTCCCGCCTGCCTGCCTGGGCGCGGGTGGGCTGCCTGAGGGGCTGCCTGAGCTGCTTGCTGGGCTGCCCGCAAGCCGAGAGCGCGGCCCGGCTCCCTGCTCCCCTGCCTGGCCTGGCCTGGCCTGGGCTGACCTTGCCTGGCCTATACCTGCCCTTGCCTGCCCGCCCGCCCGCTCGCAGGCCTTCTCCCCGCCCGAGGCCTGCGCCGCCGACCTCGCCACGCTCGTCTACACCAGCGGCACCACGGGGCACCCCAAAGGCGTCATGCTGACCCACGCCAACCTGCTGTACCAGGCCCACAACT